GATAATTTTTTGGAAGCAAGTGGTGATTTGTAACATGATTTTTGCAAGTAATATGAATATCCTATTTGTAGACATTGTTTGTTCACATATTAAGCTCGGGATGATAGATTTGATACATCTCTTTCTTGCAATTGTCCGAGACTTAATAGGTTATTTTTCAACTCAGGTATATAGAAGACATCGGTAAAGTCCAACAATTTGCAACATAATGTTACCTTTTCCCAACACAACCATCTTGAAATTATTTCAAAGCTTCACAGATTGTCGGAATTTCTCATCAACATTTGAGAATCATTCCTTATTTGCACACAAATGATTGCTACACCTCGAGTCAAGGAACCAAACATCTTCCCTCCTCGATTGATTGAGCTCCACACATGGCATCATCAACATTTCATTCTTCCACCTCAAGCTCAACATAATTCGCTCATATCTAAAATGTCCTAATTGATTACACTTATAACACTCAAGTGTAGCTTTGTTAAATAGATGTTCTCCTCTTTCTCTACCTTTACCTGTTCTTCAAAAAGCTTCACGAGCTCGATCACCTTCTCTTCCACCGATTCTATTATCGTATATCACCTTTAGTGCTTGTTCATCACTTATACGTCCTTCAATCTTTGCTCATGTACCAGCAAGTTGCTTTGCAATTCATCAATAGTTAAAATATCTAAGTTATTAGATTCTTCAATCAAACATATAATATAGTCATTCGAGAAAAAATATGCATCAACACTCTCATCCTCTTTCATTTGTAGGACCTCAAATTTGAGCTGTGCTCTTCTGACTCTTATAGAACCCTGATACTTCTGCTTCATAGAGTTACAAATTTGTTTGATAGTGTCTCCATTAAGGATGGTTTCCATAGTGGTTTCATAATGGCTCGATTAATGACTTGGAACATATAATTCTTGACCATCAAGTCTTTTAGCTTCAGGTCTGCAATTATTATTATTTTTTTTTTTTGTTGTGCTTTGGTAATCTCGACTCATTTTGTTACGGCAGGGGTTCCAATCTCCACCATAAACCAATATTCCTATGACCAAAGAAAATTTTCCATAAGTACAGACCAATGATCATAATGTTCATAAAACGAAATTGTTTTCAAGCTGCCATACTTTGAATCTCTTTTGGTTCACTATTTTTTTTCTTAAGAAAACTAATTGATATTGGATAATTAATTATTTTATTAGAATAAATTAATAATAGTTTAATAAACATATATTTATTTCATTATTATGAATAAAAGTTTATTAAAGGAATGAAATTACTTAATTACTAAAATTATTAATTAATTAGCTAACTAATTAAATAATTAATAAGGATTAGTTTTTAATAAAAAGTTGATTTTCAATAATTATAACTAACTACTTATTTATTATTTATAATCAATTAATTAAGTACTAATTTTGATTGGCTCATTATTATTAATATATCATAATTTTAAAATATAATTAATTAATTTAAATTAAATTTAGAATTAATAATAATTAAATATAATTAATAAAATGTTCTATGGTAATAATTATTTTGTACCTTTCATCCACCATATAATTATATAAAATTTATAACAACACACTCGATCTAGATGAACAAAAAAAACAAGATAGAGAAAATGCAAGAAGAATATTGGGTAAAAAATTTGTATTTTGATGACTTAAGGTAGGTACAGTAGGAGAGAATATAGAGTACACATTTTCAAAGCTCTGCCTATATAGATGGTTTAGCTTACTATATATAATTTTACTACTATATATATAACTATCTACCATATATAGTTTTACGGGAGATAGGTTTTTACTCTACATAACTATTTACTATTTATGGCAATTTACCATTTAACAGATATAGTTTTATTATTTATATCCGTTGACTAAGCTATAAATAAGCAGCAAACTCCATAACCTAACCATTCTCTCACTTGGATATAACCGTTTAAGCTATAAATAAGCAGCAAACTTCATAACCTAACCATTCTCCCACTTGGAGACTGATCTAGTCAACCAAGAATTTTGTTCTTAAACGACCATGACCATGAGCATTTTCATGGCACCATACCAATTCAGGTTTTGCACAACTTTAATATTCAACATCAACACATTTTGTCAACATGTTTGCTGGATTTTGTGCACCCTCTATCTTCCCAAAACACATTACCATCTTCCACTAACCTGCAAGTGAAATGGTATCGTCTTCCATGTTTTATCTTTAAATGATAGACCGAGTTCCTCACCAGTGTAATTGTATGACACTCTGACTATCTCTATAAAGAATCTTTTCGTACTGCTTCTTGCTCAATTCTTTAGATAGTCAGTCATCGATATCATCTTCTTTCCAACTTCAGCTATTGCCACGTACTTAGCTTCAATACAACGCATTTTTGAAGCCTAGACATCCCATCATTCATGGCTTGCTCTCACTTGGTTGTATCCTCTAACTGTAGGGCCTCATCAAAGGACTCTGGTTCCCTTTCATCAGCAATAGATAGTGTAATGAAGGTACATACATATCTGGTACTCTGATAGTACTGGATGATCTTCTCAACACCGGTTCAGGTGTCACTTGCTCTACTGTTGGTTCCTCTACAACAGTCTCAGGAGTTTCTTGAGTATTTGCTACAACATCACTAGGTGATTTTTTTTCACAACTCAACCTCAACTCCCACTTGCTTCGTTGTCTTGGAACCTTGTTCCACATCTGGTTTCTCAGCATTAGTCTCAGGAGTTTCATGAGTATCTGCTAGAACATCACTAGGTAAGTTTCCCCACAACTCAAGCTCAACTCCCACTTGCTTCGTTGACTTGGAACCTTGCTCCACATCTAGTTTCTCAACAGTAGTCTCATGAGTTTCATGAGTATCTGCTACAACATCACTAGGTGAGTTTCCCTACAACTCAAGCTCAACTCCTACTCGCTTCGTGGTCTTGGAACCATACTCCACATCTGTATGGACAATTTCCAACCGCACTTTCTTCAATTCTTTGCAGTCCTTGTGAAGCTAACTCGTTTTTGTTTGCTCATAACGTAGTTCTCACAATGACCCACATCAACAGATTTCAGACCTTCTAAAACTCCTTTCGCAACCAACCATTCCTTTCACGCTCATATGTCCAAGTATATTGTGCCATAGACTTGAATTTGAAGCACTCTCAGCAACAGCAGCTATGTTCATACACCCTGCAGTGGTGTATAAGGTTTCAGATTTTGTGCCACGTGCTACCAACATAGCACCCTTCATAATCTTCCACGAACTCTTCCCTAACTCTATTGCATAATTTGAGCTGTCCAACTGACCAATAGAGATCAATTTTTTCTTGAGACCAGGAATATATCAACATCATTTAATGTCCACTGATTACCTGCCGAAGTTTTTATGCAGACATCTCATTTTCCTTTAATCTCCATATCTTTGTTGTCGGCAAGATGCACCTTTTTGAAATTTTTAGACTTGAAATTCCATAACAACTCTTTATTCGGAAATGAATGAAAAGATGCACTTGAATCCAAAATCCAGGATTCAATCGAACTATCCACGCTAAGGATTAAAGCATCCCTAATGTCTTCGGCTGAATTTATAGAATCATTATCATCTCTAGATTTGTGATTTTGCTTCCTCTTTGGTCTTGTACAATCTGTCCGAAAGTGACATTTTTCTCCACAATTTCAACACGTTATGTTTGGTCTATTTGAAGATTTTTCTCGATTTTTTTTATTTTGATCGCCTTTTGTTTAGGCCCTTCGGTTTACTTCTTCCCTGTTGGTCAACATTGAGAGCACTACCAAATGAATTTCCAATTTCTCATTTGCAAATACTTTCGCTGAGAACTGCATCTCAAATTTCATTAAACTTCAGTTTATCAGATCCTCGAGAACTACTGATTGTGGCAACAACAATATCCCATGACTCGAGTAAAGATGACATCAAAATCAATGCTTTAATTTCATTCTCGAAATTAATTTCCACCGAACTCAGTTGACTTACGACCATATTGAATTCATTTATATGATCAACAACAGATCCACCTTTAGACATTTGTAGATTGAACAATCTTTGCATCAAATACATATTGGTCATAACCAATGGGTTTTTTGTACATATTCGACCGCGCTTTCAACAGATCTTATGTTGTCTTCTCCTTGATGATGTTGAACGCCACGTTTTTGGATAGCGTCAACCAGATCAACCCTAACGCTTGTCAATCCTTGAGCTTCCACTATTTTGTGGTCATGGTATCTGGCTTCACCCCCAACAGGGGTTCGTGAAGATCTTTCTGGTACAGATAATTTTCAATCTACATCTTCCAGAAATCGAAATCGGATTCATCGAACTTCTCAATTCCAATCTTTAAGCTTTTCATCTTCACAGATCGTGGTGAATTTCGCCGAGGCTCTGATACCAGTTATTAGGATAGCACAACAACGCACACTCAATCTAGATGAACACAAATAACAGGATAGAGAAAATGCAAGAATAATATTGGCTAAAAGATTTGTATTGATGACTTCAGGTATGTACAAAGTACATTTTCAAAGCTCTACCTAAGGCCATATATATATGGCATAGGTTTCTATACATAGTTTTACCAGATATAACCATCTACTATATATAATTTAGATATAGTTTTTTACTATACATAACTATTTAGACAATTTACTTTATATGTCATTTACCAAATACAACTTTACGTATAATCGTTGACTAAATTCCATAACCTAACATAATTAATTATTCAGTCTCGAAGATAATTATTAAGATTAATGGTAAAAATGAAAATTAAATTACTTATTATTATTTTAATAATTCGATCTAATAAAAAAAACTAAAACAATTAATTATCTAAAATTAAATAATATAATAAAAACACGAAAAAAAATCGGACTCGCTAATTCGGTTAGCACAGTTGTACAGAGCGAACCGTACAGAATGGTTCAGTTTTCGGTTTGACCGACCGACCCAAATGTAGTTTGTTTTCGGTTTTCTTTTCTAAACGTAGCCGACACATCGCATCGGACGTCTCGCCATCTCCCTCGAGTCTTTCGTCGCCTCACTCACGGTCACTGCCTCACTCACCGTTGATCAGCTGCATTACCGTCGAATACTCAGCCATTGCGCATTTGGCTGCTCAGCCCCCGCGCCTTCGACAGAGAATCCAGGAGCCTTGGTCTTTTCTCTGCTAAATTCCGCCTCTTCTCAAATCTGCGCTACGTCGTTGAGTGATTCTTGGTGGGTTTCTAATCTGTTTCTTGGTATTGTTGGGTTCTTGTTTGTTATGTAGCAACACTACGCTCTGTTTTTGTTCTGTGCCTCCAATGTTGTGAGTTTTTTTTGGGATTTGGGTATCTAGGTTGATTGGTGAATCGATTTTCTTCGGGGTCCTGGTTGTTTTTGCATTCTCATACTTTGGAGGGACAGACATATCAGCTCATCCTCCTTGTTTTCAAACATTTGTGTCTTGTTATTTGTGTTCATCGTATGAAAAACAATAGGTTCATGCACATTTTAGCAGACTTTTGGCCAAAGTCGATGATATTTTGACTTGTTTCACTCTGTTCCATCAAAGAAAATGGATGACATGCATTTGTGTTCATCATATGCTAGATATTGGTGCTTTTCCTAAGTCTACTTTTTCAGCAATTTCTGTTCATTTGATCATTTTCTTGTAAAGTCTAAATGTCGCTTGCCGTTGGTTTTTCATTGGTTTGCGTCTGCTTTTCATTCTTTGAGTTAAGCAAATTCAATTCATAAGCCAAATAGCTCATTTGCTTAGTACTAAATCATCTTTGAGTAGGTGATTCTCTGTTGCTTGTGTTTTCTGGTCTCAAGTTGGAAATGGAAGAAGTATTAGAAGGCTTTTGCTGTGGATATGAGGTTCCTTTTAGGAATCAAGAAGTTCATTATCTAAAGCTTGAACTCATAGCAAAGTAATAAGAATAATAGTGGAATTGGGAATTAAACTTTTTCTAGAATGAATATGAAGGAGAACTAAATCTCTCAAGTGATTGGTAACTCATTGTCGTATTCCTCTATGGTATTATTTTTCTCTTGATTTTCAATCTCAAGATTGAGTTGTTATCGACTCAACTCAATATTTTGAATCATTCTTAGGGATTGGATCCATAATGTTGAGTATTGCTGGAGATATGCATTATAACATAGCTCTAGAGGAATTTAGCGTCAATGAGATTGTAAAAAGAGAAGTGGAAAATTTAGATCATAATGCTTTTGAAAAGTAGCATAAGCAATTGGAATAAGTTACCTTTTAGAGGAATCAAATGCTAGCAGGGCTTCAAATTTATCCTACTTGGGAAAACAGCATGGCTTAACTACTAACTGAACTTGCACAAGGATGAGGATCCCATTGGTAGACTCATGGTGGAGAAGGTGTGACTAATCTACGGTAACATTGTTGTGAATTTTGACCATCGAAGGCAATGGTGCATGCTGCAGGTCAAATTTGAATAAAAACTTTAGGAACTAAGCAAATGTAACAAATTGGTGAAGATTATAGTTCAATAAGGTCGATCATCATGGATTTAATGGATTAGATGCTGGAGCAACTTGAGGTTGATTGAATTGAACACCATTACTTGGCCCACACCTTAAACGCCATGACCAGATGGTTTTACCTCAATTTTTTTTTTTTTTTAAACGTTGGAGCATTCTGAGAGCCGATATCATGAGAGTGTTCCAAGATTTCTTTTTAGAATGTTGTTATCAATGGCTACCTAAACGAAACATACATTTGTCTGATCTCAAAGAAACTGGATGCTTGCAATGTTGTAGACTTTCGCCCCATAAGTCTTATGACCGGACTATACAAAATCATAGCAAATGTGCTATTTGAACGTCTTAAAAAAGCTCTCCTTTTCATGATTAATGGGCAGAAAACAGCTTTTGTAGAGGGATGACAAATCCTTGATGCATCCCTCATGGAAAATGTACTCATAGATGAATGGGAGAGGAATAATCTCATGTTGTCACGTCAAACATCAGAAATGATTTCAAATCCATTCTGTTCTGAAATCCTTTCAAATACAAGTATTCCAACCAGAGGGTAAATTCAATTCTTAGAACACCCATTTTCCTTCCATCATTCACCTTCGGATTCGAGATTTGAGAAGCCTCTTGTTGGTGGCAGGTAATAATTCAGTCAATTTGTTGTCTAATCTAATTCGTATTTCCAACTAGCATTGAGCCACCTAAATGTTAAAATTACTCCCAATTGCTTATACTACTTTTCAAAAGCATTAGGATGTTAATTTGTCACCTTTCTTTTTTGCAATCTCATTGATGCTAAATTTCTCTACCGCTATGCTCTAATGCACATTTTCTAGCAATAATCTAGATTTGGTTTTGGAACTACTATCGAGATTCTTCGGACCATATTTCTTAGTCCTTTGGTTATCCCAACAATGGGGGATAACAACCGCTTATGCAGCCTCTCCTTCTGAGGAGGCCCTATGAATCAAGGATAAGAAAGCCACGATAATATGCCTTCCGATTCTTTTAATATTGATTCTTCTATTCCATTCTAATCTTTTACCGAAACTCTCTAAAGAATCTACTGATATTTCTTCTTTCGATTTGGAAATGAAAATGAAAGTAAAACTCACAACCAGTAACCATGATCACATTTGACAGTTCAACCTGAACCTACCTCAAAATCTTCAATTGTGATAGTGGAACACTTCTTGTCTTCTTATGCTTATGTTCCAATATTTAATATCGGTGCGGTCGTTTATCCCCAGACTTTTTGAACTTTTAAGATATTTTATTGTCAAGATTTAACATGTTGTATCGTGTTGAGATACTGACCTGAATACTGCATTCTGCTTAAACTTAAGTTTATGAGGTTTTGGCTTATCCGGTTAAGGGAATGTTTCTCATTCTTGATAGATGTCTAATAAAGATGATATTGAGAACCCCAATGCTGATAAGGTCCAGAAAGGGTTAGTGGCTTCTGCTTTATCAGGTGAGAGCCCACCAAACTGGTATGCCATTGTTCTACAGCAAGTCTCAATATATGGTGTTGCTGCTGGGTACTGTGTTTCTGCATCCCTGCTTTCCATCATCAATAAATGGGCAATCATGAAGTTCCCTTACCCAGGTGCACTGACTGCTCTACAATACTTCACAAGTGCAGCTGGAGTTTTCATTTGTGGTTGTGCTGGATTTATCGAACACGATCGACTTGATCTCTTGACAATGTGGCGGTTCCTACCTGCTGCATTTATATTTTATCTTTCCCTATTCACCAACAGTGAACTTCTCTTGCATGCCAATGTCGATACATTCATCGTTTTCCGCTCAGCAGTTCCAATTTTCGTCGCTATCGGTGAGACCCTTTTCCTTCACCAACCCTGGCCATCGATCAAGACATGGGTCTCGCTCGCTATCATCCTCGGTGGCAGTGTTCTATACGTACTGACAGATTATCAATTCACATTGGCAGCATACTTTTGGGCTTCGGCTTATCTCATTAGCATGTCTATAGATTTTGTATACATAAAGCATGTTGTTATGACCATAGGGCTGAACACATGGGGCCTTGTGCTGTACAACAACTTAGAGGCACTTCTTTTGTTTCCATTGGAGCTTCTTATCATGGGTGAACTCAAGAAAATCAAGCACGAAATCTCAGATGAATCTGATTGGCACTCATTTGCAGTGGTTTTGCCTGTTGGGTTATCATGCTTATTTGGTTTGTCCATATCTTTCTTTGGGTTCTCTTGTCGCAGGGCAATATCAGCTACTGGATTCACTGTACTCGGAATTGTGAATAAACTCCTCACTGTAGTGATTAATCTTGTCATCTGGGATAAGCATTCGACGTTCATTGGAACAATAGGGCTATTGATATGTATGTCCGGTGGAATCTTGTATCAACAATCTTCAAGCTCGAAGCCGAAAGAGGTGGTAAGGGCACAAGAAACAGTGGAAGAAGAGCAACAAAAGCTACTTGATGATCGGCCAAGCAATTCAGATGAACAACAAAAGCAAGTTGAGATGCCAAGCGTTCCAGATAGCAGCGACGCCGACAACAAAGTTAGTCGATCGGAGGATGCAAGATCATGAGGTACTTCTAAATGGTAATGCTTCTACAACAATTGTATTTGGTTGCATTATTTGATTCATATTTATCATTTGTAGCATGCTAATATAGTTTAGTTGCATTTTGATGTATATCTTATTATGTTCATTGAAAGTTCTTTTTTTTTTATTCAGAATCTTACGTGGAATTGGATATACCTGTGTTTTTAATATTACATGTTAAGTTTTGGTATATTTAAGTTAGTAGCCAATGTCATACTTTTCATAACTGGGTTCGGATAGATGATGACCAGAAGGTCACTACCTCCTCCAAGATTGGGCATTATGATGCTACTTGAGAATTGTCATATGTTCTTCCGTAGTTTAAGCATTCTTTTCCTTTGCTATGTTTTTTCTTAATTGTCCAACCGTTTTATTTGAAAAAATATATCACCGACCAGAGATAGAATCAGACCAATTCCCTAAATGCTTTTCTGGATATTCCTTAATGTCCCGACTATTCACGGAATGTGAGAAGCAGATGAATAATCATCCGCTTCTGGAAGAAATCGAAGAATTTCTCAGGAATCCTACAAGAACCATTCGTTCTTTTTTCTCTAACACATGGTTAGAAGTTCATGTTTTTTTAGGCTAATTAAGCGGAAGATCATGGATATATAAATAAGGAAAATTATATTTATTGATATAAAATAATTCGATAAAATTAAAAGAAAAGTCACGAAAGCTTATATTTGTATAAACTCTATTCTCTGTTGTATTCAACCTTTACCAATTATTTGAAATTCCGTTCCAATTGGACATTCTTTTAATCACTTTGGAAGGAAACCGATGGCTGCCACGAACATGATGACCAAGTGGACAAGCTGAGGCACGAGTCTGCGTTAAATGGCATAGGTTTGTCTAATTGGATTTTACACCAATAAGTTGTTAAATTTTAAGAGTTTTTTCATCTTAATGATAATTTTTTTCAACATCACTTCTACAAAATTAAAAATTTTAAAATATATTAAATAATAATTAGATATTATTTAAAATAAGAAATCATTTAGGAAGCATTTGACGTGCTGATTGGAGTTATTGTATTTAGAATGTTTAGTCTATAGAGTTAAATAATGTGTCTGATTGATGCTTAGTCTAAGTAAAATAAAATTATAATTGAGATATAAATTGTTTAGTCTCGGTCTACAAAGTTGTGGTAAGGGATGCACATTTAAATTAAGTTTAGAAAGGAATGCACAATTTATTTACAAAGTCCTTTAACATGAAGTTTTAGTATTTGCATTTAGGAAGGTTTTTTTTTTGCTTTTTTGTTGTTGAATTATACAATTAAAGCTGTTTTAGATATCAACTTTTCAAAATTTTAAGAATTAATTTCTGTTTCGAAAGAAATATTATTATTATTATTATTATTATTTTAACTATTATTTGATCTAAATGACTAGTGGCAATCTTCTTTTGAAATTATCCTAATAGAAAATCTATATTTTTAATCATTTTTATTTTATTTTTCTCTGAAATATTTAGTTTATTAAAGTCATTTGTTATAATGACGTAATATATATATATATATATATATGTTTTCTTTATCCATGATTTCATAACTTTTATTGTTATATAAAAGTAAATTATATTTTTAAGATTCATTTAACTACAAATTTGAAGTATTTAAGCAACTTAATATTCCATCACTAGTGAAACATACCATTATAATTAAACTGTCTTCATGGTAAAACTTTTAAGTGAATTTTTTTTGTTGGTACAAAATTCTTCCATCTTCAACTTCTCAAAGTCACTTGGTATAAGAGTTTAAAATGTCAATTTCGACAAAAATACCAAAACCTTGATTTAATAAAAATTTCGATAGAAATATCCCTAAAATTTTGGATGTTGATGGGTAATTCCAATATATATATATATATCTATATAACAAAAATTTCAAAAAAAAAGAAATAAAAAGAAATAAAAAGTTAAATCATTAATCATTTTTACATTTTTAAAGTAAATGATTAATGATTAATGATTAATGACACTAATCATTAATCATTTTTTTAAAATGTGTAAACTTATGAACATTGTGTTGTGGAGTGTATTTGTTGTGAAAGATGTAGGTTAAATAAGGAGTAGGATAGTTTAGGCCACTCCCCTCAACCCACCCAAGTCCCAACCCTAGTTAGTGGCTTAAACACCCCCTTCAAAACATATTTTTCCTCTCATAAAACACGGGTGATTATACAATGACACTTCGCTAATCTTCTCATCTTACTCATCAAGAACATCATAGCTGTGGATTTGGTGTGTTCAACCTCTCCTAAATGTTAGTCATTCACTCGAAGGCCAAACTCCATACTGAGATCTATTTGCAACAGCAAATAACTATTGCCAATGCTTTGCAAGGATAAATTACACCGCGTCCCTCCTTTTTCTGAACCAAAAATGAACTCGAGAATTCAGAATTTAGTATCGTATAATAAGTCAAACACGAGTTGCTACTCTAACTGATTTGTCCTAATATGTATTAAGAATACATCAATGGAAAGAACAAAGAACATTTGGAACAGAGGTATATAACGAAAAATAGTTAAACAATTTAGCCATTATGGGAGAACTAATACTAGCGGCTACCTTGAGTATCTTCTTGAGTCAAGTATGTACTAAATTGCCTTCTTTACTGCGCTAAATGCAGAGGAGGTTTCCCATTCATTTGAGAATGTTCAAAGCATGCTTCTTACCTCTGGATACAAGTACCGAGGGTTGGGTTATCTCCCTAAACTCTCTCTATTACATGCTTTATTGATGAATAATGATATGGGCAAAGCAAGATGCACACAAACTATACGAAGTGAAAATGGAGAAAAAATCATCTAAATTCCAAGACTTGTTGCAAAAAAATTATAGGAGGTAAAAAAATAAAACACAATATTCATGTACAGGTCGGTATTAAATTCTTAATCCTAGATCACCAATATACAAAAGGACGTCAGATCTTACTATTGCGAGAACAGCCTGTCTTGCAGCATTTGCCCAAGCTTCGTGAAAAGAAGTTGTTGCTCCTCAAATGTAAGGTTCATTAGTATCTAAAATAAATAAATACCACCAGCAGTCAGCTCACATAACCTCACCGAAAAGATTCTTGCTCTAATAAGAGAAGGTGAATGAATGAGACATTCATCTAACCTGGTCAATAATTGATTCAACGGTGATACTCTGAGACACGACGAATGATTGATGATAGATGTATGAAAACACGGCCATCACCATCTGCATTTGAAAAATCAAATATTTTAACTGCAGGGAACAAGGGTAGAAGGGGAACAAGGACAGGAGTATTCGACTATGCCACAAATATTAGGGGTGCAAATAGGTTGGTTTAGTGCCCGATTAAACTGAACCACATCAGGGGATATGACCAAAATGAGCTGAACTTGCTTGATTTTGTGATGGTTGATGAATCCATCAATTCTCACTACAGAATCAGATAAAAAAAAATGGGGGGAAAGATGAACAAATACAGAGTTGGAGTGATGATCAAGAGAAGAAGAGCATGTGGCAGTGAAATTAACAATGGCGGAGACATGGCAAAAGTCTATAGTGCAGAAGGCAACCTCCTGATCATGGAAAGAGGGGTGAAACATCCTAATTTTCTTTATGAGAGGCAAGGTTGAAGCTACTAGGAGACTTTGTCGAGGTAATCCTCTTTCACCTTTTATCCGTCATGGTAGGAGACCTTAACAGAATGTTGAAAAGGGATTGTTCTAAAGGTGGGCTAGAAGGTTTCCATATTATCCACCTGAATCACTTGCAATATTCAAATGTTATTCTAATGTATAGTATAACCAAGCCCAGGAAAATTCTGTTCGGCCTCCAATTATCATCAGGTATGTGGAAAGGGCCAAAAAGGGAATTTATCCTTGAGAAGTTAGTTCCAAGGGTCAAGGGTCAGAATGTTGGGGAAACCACTGAGGGAGTGAGGGAGAGGAATGTTAGCGGGAGTGTGGGAGAGGAATGTTAGTGCGTATACGCAAGGGGAAAGGAGAAGAGATTTTCATCTTTTGTCTATAGTAGAAAGTTGTAAGGGGAAGGGAAGAGATTACCCACCCGACTAGGTTTGCTTCTGTATTGCCTTGGGTCACTTCCTCTGTTGGTAATACCTTGCATATTGGGCATACCCTTTGTATTTTCATCTTTTGTCTACTGTAGAAAGTGGTAATACCTTACATTTGCTCTTCCAAAGTCGTATGACAACACTAACAAGTGAGCAAGCGCCAACGACATGCCGTTCAAACGACTAACTGAAGACGAATTCCAGACAGAAAATAACAGGACTTTGTCTCTATTGTGAGGAAAAATTCATCGTGGGCCATCATGGTAAAGGAAAAGAACTTAGGCGTCTTTTGGTGTATGATCACAAAGAAGAGGAAATGGAAGGTGACGAGACGAACATGGCTATTAAGCTTGCGTGATGAGCAAGCCCAAGAGGCGTTTGAGAGATTGAAAAATGTCTTGGTAACTCCACCTATATTTGCCTTTTGTGGTGTAAACTAATGCGTCTGGAACAGGCTTATGGCTGTTTTATCCCAATAGCAATTTCCAATTGTATTATTCAGTCATATCTTATCCCCTCAAACCCAATCTAAATCAGTTTAGGAAAGAGAACTCATGGTGATAGTCTTTGCGGTTCAACGATGGCAGCGCTATTTACTCAATCAGAAATTCATTGTTAGAACAAATCAACAAGCGCTGAAATTTTTGGAACAGAGAGTGACAGCCTGAGTTTCAACGATGGATTTTTAAATGGCTGAGCTACAATTTCAAAATTCAATACCACCTAAGCCTAGAAAATAAAATTGTTGATATTGTGTCTGAGGTTACCACTGGTCACTCATATGGCCAATCTTTTAGTTCCAGTCATTTTAGATGTTGAAGTGATTACAGAAGAGGTTGCTAATGATCCAAAGCTAGTCAAATCATCCAAAGCCTGGAAAGTGATGCAGGCAGTGTGCCCAAATTCTCCTTTCAGCCAGGCAAATTTTTGTATAAAGGTTGGCTCGTTCTCTCAAAAACGTCTTCCCTAATCCCAGCAATGCAACAGACATACCATGACCACGTGATGGGGTCACTCAGGGTTCTTAAGAACTTATAAAAGACTAGTGTTTAAGAAGATTTCATGCTAAGAAGTTGACCTCCCAAATTTCAAGTGACTGGGATCAATTGTTATAGGAATAGACTCGAAGAGGTAGAATATCTTTCTGTCTTCACCTTTGAACTACATAGAATGCCTTTGAGGAAAAGCCTACCTCAAAATGCTTAAGGAATCCTATTGTAAGAATCTGGGGGAGAACTACTGAATGGAAAACGATGGTGAAAGGAGCCAGGGATATTTTCCAATAACAGAATAATTATTTGAGGAAGACAACGATAGTGAGAGGAGAAGCCACTTAGTGTGATGGAAGATCATCACTCTGCCTTCCGATCGTGGGGAGGGAAGGAAAATATTACGAAAGGAAACACCCCACTCGGGAAAGTGGCTATGGAGGAAATTCTCAAAGGAGAAGGATGCTCTTTGGTACAAAATTGTTTCCAGTAAATATGGTTTATAAACTGGGTAAGAACACAAAAAACACAATGAAGCTGATTGTCGAAGCCCTTAGGTGAGTATCTCAATACTTAAAAGACCTTTCTTCTCTCCCCTCATTTTACAAAGTCAGGAATGGTAGATGGTGCTTACGTCTTTTCTCGGGAGGATACTGCTAAACAAAGAACGTGCAACACAGAGAGGGTTCTTATAATTGTAATTTGAATTTTCCCTCTAAATTTAGTTGTTTACTTGGGTAACTTGGATAGTTATGTATGATGACCAGGACGAGTCATCTACTATCCAATTCACCCAAGTGCTCGATATACCTAAATAAAGAGAGAAAACTCAAACTTACAGCCTGTATGTGATGTTAGGGATAAAATATTCTTTACCATCTAAACTAATTCAGCATACCTGGCAATCCATCCTATCTGTGATTCCACCATGTCCAGGAATGCTATCACCAAAATCCTTCAAAGGGATATAACAGCGTCATATTTATTGAAGTTACAAAATTGATAGGCTTGACATAAGACAAATGAGGGACCTTGATTTTAAAAGCTCTTTTGAAGCCGCTAGCAAAGAAGCCACCAAAAGGAGCTATTATTGATGCAAACAAACCAAGACATATAGCATGCCACTGAACTCGCAAAATGGTGACATCTTTCCATGGGAACTGCCAAACAATGACCTAAGTTAGAAAAATGAATATAGATGGGCAAATAAGAACTAACTGTAACATCAAGAAGAAAGAGCTAAGCTCGCAAATCATAGAATGCAGACTATTCCAAGAATGCAATAAAAAATACTTGTTGGCAATCTCAAACAAATCCATCTGTTAGAGCTTTCCGGCTTCCGACAGAGGGTAAACCATTTTGATCCAATCCAACAAGGTCAAAATGAAAAAGAGCATGACAGAACATAAGACTAGAATGGTGTCATCAGCTTCCATAGCTCACGCACCACATCTCCATTTATGACAATTATATTGCTCTTAGTGCAAATAATTTCCATGTTCATTGGATTGTATTTACTGTAAATTTCATTCACAAACCAGCACAATCCTTGGCTCTATCGTTGGCCAACGATTATGTTTTTTTTTTTTTTTTTTTTTTTTCCTTTAGTAGATGGATTCCATAAACATCTTTGACCAACAGAGACTATATATTAAAGCCTAATATGGAGTGTCCACATAGCTAATACCTTTTCAGTCAATGTTCCTGGCGTGAAAGTTAAAAGATTTGTTTACTAAAAAAAAAATGAATATATGATGTCAAAACGAAACACATCCAGAAAGAAGACAGGATCAACCTCAAAAAAAATTTGTTGAAAGCACATTTTTCTAGCATGCTAGGCAGGGGATCCCTCTCCCCCTGCCCTTCTAAGCTGTATCCCTGCTTTCTAGTAATATCTTTTCTCTCTTACCCGGTAAAAAAAAGGGTTAATGTAATGATTTTCTTTACAAAAAAACCTGAGAGAATATAGCATATGTAAAAATCATAGAATTGGATTTTTAAATAATGTAAAAAAAAAAAAAAAAAAAAAAAAGGTAAACTAATGAATTTTTATAATTGGCCAATTGCTTGTACTGATCAAATTAGTTAAAACCAATGGCTTGTTAGCAATTAAAGAGATAGATCTTAAGAATTAAATGTCAAGATTGTAAAAATTGGAACTAAACATTTGGTTTTTTTAGTTTTTTTTTTATTGATAAGAAACAAGGAAGCTGGACGTTTGTGACTGACGAATAGTAAATAAGGGTTCTTAGATTGCTTAATGATGATGAACTTGAGAAGGAGAACTGGGGCTGTTTTTCCCAGATCAACATGTGTGGTTAGTAGGAAAAAACACACGGATCAAGCAAATTGAAAAGCAAGTACATTTACCTAAACGGTAAAAGTACACACGCACGTACATATATAATAATCAGACTCAAACAACACCACTTTACTGACCCATGAAGGAATCCATCCTGGTAAAGTAAAATATTCAGGTGAGAACAAAGGACCCGGATCACAGTGAAGCCACCCAGTTGATAAATCCTGCATTTGTATCCCAGATAAGTAGACACATGATTATCTTCAAAACAAAAATTTAGGACACTAAAAGAGAATCACCTTTCTTGGACAAGTGAGCCAACTGAATCGACCCATGATGTTTGCAAGCTGCACCAGCACCAGCATGTTAATAGCATCATTATTATAATCACTTTTTTTTACTGTTATCATCATGTTTCCAGGCACTTAAAGCATATTCACAGACAAGGATTTTTGTAGGAAACTACACAATCTAATCACATGAAATAAAAATAAAGTTTAATCGTCATTCAACCCTAAAGCTTAAGCTGATGAGTTACCATAAATCAATTATATCAATACTTTTAGCACTCTCTCTCACTAATGGTGTTGAAATTTTGTTGAAGGTCCAAAAAATGTAAATCGAGGAAATGCATTACCACAGTTAAAACATATGATCTTTTACTTTGATACCATATTAAATCACCAATCAGCCCAAAAGCTTAAGCTGATGGATTATGGTGAATTTAGTTATATTAATACTTTTAACATATTTATACATCAGTAAACATTTAAGTAATAGGAATTAACCATCAAGAAACATGTGCAAAATAAAACCATAAACCAAAATAAGCACGTCGGAAAATATGAAATTAAAAAATAGGAAGAATAATAAAGTAATATTCTAAAGATATATAGTAATTGAAGGTTGTTATGTAATAGGTTCTGCAAGATCGATTAAAGGCAGAACCCACTTCTTTAAGAAGCTACAACCTTCCATACACGAGGCAAATGAACAACACATGGATCAAGTTAAGGAAGGACTATTCTCATTTGTCAGTTATTTTCCCACCTAAAAAGGGAACAATTTAAAGTTAAAACATATATTGTTGTAGTCTATTCTGTCACAAAAGCGGCCCCAGTCTAGAAAATAATCATGTAAAGCCCACAAGATAAGATCAGTACATTTTTTTTTTTTAATACGAAACGAAGTTTTCTTTTGAGAAAAATGAAAGAATGTACAAGAGCATAAAAAAAACCAGAAAAAGGAACCCTAACACTACTAGAAGAATAATCCCCAATTCAAAAGAATGAGATCAAGCTCTAAAGATCATTTTGTTCCTTCCAGATAAAATTGCCCACCAAATAATGAAAAAAAATGCATGCCACACAATTCTTCCTTTATCACGAACATGAGGCTTTAGGAGAACCTCCTATATCAGACAACAATAAGCTCTGTTGCAGCCAATCCCAGTTCTTTGTTGGACACATTCAACAGTACTTTGTTTTCCTTCCGGGTAAAAACAATGTCTAAGTATTGAGGACCTGTGCAGCTAAAAACCTATGGCTCTGATGGAATTTTGAAAGAAGTAAATCAAAAACTATTCCATAATTCTTCTAGTGAGGACAGAGATATTTGGGATGTTATTCAATTCCAAGCTTACCCGTGTTACATAAGCTTTTTGTGTATTAATAGCTTACCAGAAGTAGGTCTTGTGCTAAAGTGGGGTATTTGACTAGAGAGGAATAAGAAGATAACAAGGGATGTTAAGAAATCTAGGGAGGAGGTTTGGGAGCTTGTGAAGTTTAATGCTGTGATGTTTAATCAACTGATATGTTAGCTCCCTTAAAAGCAACCTGTTGTGATGTTGTCCACCATTTTCAGCATCCACATCCCTCTGCCCTTCTTCCTTATCCTTAATTTACAGGTTATAACACCTTGTCTGGAGGATTGCGGTCTGCGCATTAAAAAAAAAAAAAAAAACAACAAAATCTCTGTAAAACAAAGTCTAGGGCTAAGGGACTAAAGGAAACTCCAATCAACCATCAATGAAAAAGAGAACTTGTCTCAACACAGGGAAGAGTCGACATCTATTTTATGATTATTCTATCCTGGCATTCCAAGGGATTAGGTTATTGGCGGAAGTGTGTGTGTTATGGTATATATTATCATGACATTCATGTATATAACTTAGATTTAGATACCTATAGTTACATTTTCCCTTTATTGTAATTTTACATTCTTTTAGTTTAGGGCTCTCATGTGGAGCTATGTATTTGGGAATTTAGTATGGGAAAGGTATTAGCTATTCTCTCAATATTGAAGAAAAACATGCTCTTGTCAAAGGCGTCATTATCAAATACAATCCTTCTTGATCATCCTTCAAGAAACCAAGAGTAGTAACATTGATAGACCTATCTTTCTCCATTTCCAATGTCACTGATGAGTTTGAATCACTTCTTGTTTATATAAAATCATAGCCAGGATTCTATTGGAGAGGCTGAAATGTGTGATTCCAAGCACTATCATAGAGAATCATTTAGCTTTTGTATCAGGGTGTCAAATTCTGGAGCCTCTCTTACTGCAAACAAGCTCATTGAGGAATGGTATAGAAGCGGTTGAAAAGGTCATCAATAAGGTAAATCAGGATTTCTAGATGAAATCTTGAGAGTTAAGGGGTTTTGAGACAAATGGAGAAGCTGGATTAGAGAGTGCATTTCATCAGAAAATTTTTCAATCATTATCAGTGGAAAACTGAGGAGCAAAATTTGGGCATTCTAGCCTAAGGCAAGGTGACCCCTTTCAGCTCATCTTTTTATTTTAGTAGTTGAGCTTAGAAGGTTGTTGTCCCATTCCTCTCGGAGAAAAATTGATTACTTCAAATTCATCATCTACAATTTTTGGACTAAAACTTTCTTTCTTCCACTCACAAGGAAAAAGAAAAAAACAAACCTTTTCAACGGACAAAAGTCTGAACTTATTTGGTCTTTAGTCTTGAACTTATTGGGTATAAAATAATGCTTCTTTAATTTAGCACTTGACAAACCGTTATTTATTATGACACTTTCTTAGGTTTTCCCCTTCATGGTAATCCAAAAGCAACATCCCTTTTTGGCAGCCTATCATTGATAAAGTAGAAAGAAGACTTCTTAGTTGCAGCCACATTTTTAACTCAAAGAGGGATAGACTTTCTCTCATTAATGCAACTTTGGCCGATCTGTATTTATGTCACTTTTCTCTTTGCCTAGAAAGGATGTCCTAGCTATAGAAGAGATCTTCCGAAATTTTCCATAATCTGGTAACAAGAAAACAAAAAGTATCTCATGTTCTAAAGAGGGAAAAGGTAAAATGACTTCGGTTGAATGGAGAGCTTGGTATCCTTGATCTAATGAAGAGAAATAAAGCTTTATTAGCCAAGTGGTATTGGAGATTCCACATTGAAAATATGGAGGAAGTTGATTGTAGCAAATTTTGGGTCTTCTCATTTTGATTAACTAGTCAGAATTGAAGTCAGAAACTTCTTCCTACAGCCGTTGGAAGCACATTCTTCAACCAGAGGACGTTATTGATTCAAATATTTGATCCAAAGTTGGAAATGGCCATTCAACTATTTTTTGGCATGATTTATGGTTGGGACAAAATCCTCTAAGTGCAGCTTTTCCTGTTTTATTCGCATTGACAAAAACAAAGGATCCCTCTGTGGCAGACATTTTGGTACTACAAAAACGCCTCATGGATTATGAATTTTTGCAGAAATCTAGAGAATGAGAAAATACCTCAATGGGAATCTTTGTTGAACTCTTTCTCGTCTTATCAATATATTCATAAGGAAGTGCCACCTGTTTTTATTCAAGGCAAAGAAGGCTATTGCACTACCAAATCAATGGGCAGAAAATTCTCGAAAATGTCCCAACTTATGAAAAGTCATTCAGAAGGATTTCTATCCAAAAAAGATAAGTTCCACCATTGGGAACTCAACCACACTTGCCTAAATACCCTAGACCGGTTACAAAGAAGTTTCTGATGGGCTCTATCAACAAAATGCTGCAGTTTGTGTAAATCAAATAGTGAGTCCCAGAAACATAATAACTTCACTCAATGCCTTATTGCTTCAAAAATTTGGTCCCATTTACTCGCTCCATTTGGACATGGACTGACCCAATTAAGGTGCAAGATTGGTTGTCTCTAATTCTAATTGAGCATCCTTTCAAGGTTGAGAAGACTACTTTTCTATAGATCAATAGAGCTTTCATATGGATTGTTGGGAATGAGAAAATGCAAGAATTTTCAGCAACAAGGGAATCCATCAATGTCATAGTCGAACACATCATACTTTTGGCTTTATGCTGTAGTAAACATGTTCCACCTTTTAGTAACTATAGTTTCAACTCTCTTACATCCAATTGGAGAAGTTTCTTTGTAACATCTTTTGGATAGATTTCGTTCCTTTTTTTATTTAACATTTTATACCATCAATGATTTTTTTTTTTTTTAATGAGAAGACCAACTTTCATTTAGAAATAAAATGAAAGAATACAAGGGTATACAGAACGGAGTCCAACTAGAGAAATGACCTCCAATTAGGAAGAATGAGACCTAACAAGTAATTACAATAAAAAATAAAAAATAAAATAAAATAAAAAAAGAAATCGTCACCGTCATCCAAAGAGAAATATTGAACCTAATGAGGGACCAAATGTCAAAGAGTCCCTCACACTCCTCTAAAGGTATCATTGTTCCTCTTCCCAAAGACACCACAAAAGAACACAAACTCCATCATGCCACAAGAACATAACCTCTTCCAATAAGGGGGAAGGGGAAGGAACACTTCAATCATCTACCAGTAGTACATGCATCAGGCTAGCTGGAATCCGAACACAAAAAAAGAAAAAAAAGAAAAAAAAAAAATGGTTCTAGACACATACTAGCTGCAATCTAACACATCAAAAAAAGTAGTTCCAACTGCATGAGCAAATGAATAGATCCAACGGATATGACCCAAGTCTTCCTCTGCCCCCACAAAGAATGCAACAAAACGGACCACCAAAGAAAGCATCTTTCTCAGAAACCGATCAACAGTGTGCAATCTTCCATGGATAACTTGTCAACCAAGGCATCAACCTTCTTAGGAACTTCACCCACCAAAGAAAGCATCTTTCTCAAGAGCCGATCAAGAGTGTTCACTCTTCCATGAATAACTTGTCAAGCAAAGACAATATCACTAGAGGGAGAAAAGTTCAATAAGCCCCAAAATAACAAGCTACAAAAAAAATAAAATAAAATAAAATAAAATAAAAACACCAGTAGGGTTAGGAGTACAAAAATGAAAATCCCTTCTCCCCTGCCTAAACCAACTAAAACTCCCTGATCAAAGAAAGGAGAGTAGAGACATCTATCACCCTATTGGATAACAAGTGATGGAAATCGAGTGAAAGAGAGGGAGAGCTTCTAGAATGATTCAAGACATCAGCCATAAAGCAGTTCTTCATTGAGAACAAATTATGAATAAATTATCTAAACAGGGAAACGTAAAGAAAAGGCATTGAACCTCGACCCACCAATTCTTCCCAAAAGTACGTATTCCAGACCATCACCCACAAAGCAGTTAGCAAGGTTAGAAAACCAAGGGAGCTCATTTGCAATTTCTTCCCACATATTTCTGTATGTGCCTTTAACCCAGCCCAATGTGCTTGAGGATGAGGACCTTGCTTCCTTTAATCCGATACCATCAATGAAATTGTTTCCTATCCAATACACACACACAAGATATCCAACCAATGCCATTATCGTCTAGGCCTTGCCCAAGTTTGATGGCCAAAATAAACTTCAAGACGTTTACATTGCCATCTTAACATCCTCCTCCTACGAAGAAGAAAAATGTCTCTATCCAATCATTAAATAAAAGGAAAAAGTTTGCATGGCATTTCAGAAGATGGAAACTAGACTTATGAATATCATGTTATCAAGGACTGTTGAGAGACACTGATGGGGAGATTAGTAAGAAATGGATTGCCCATAGACACTGATGGGGAAATTAATTTAATTGCATTAAACTTACAATAGAGAGTAAGAGTCAAGTTCAACAACTTTTTACTTGAAAAACAATGTTTCAAATCATCTCAGAAAAAAAAAAAAAAAAATTCAAAACAATGCAACCATCTCAAGCACATTGAAGACCATTGTATAATAGATAGGCAAAGACAAGGTACAAATTTTGCCAAAGTTGGTCATGTTCACAAAGAAGAAAGTCATTAGATATACTCCAAAGATGCACAACATTAGAAATAGCAGGAAAAGAGATTCTAAATTAGCATCACCATAAATGCCGAGATAATAGTTGTCACAGAGGCTCCTATGAATCCCTCCCAAGTTTTCTTTGGAGATATTTTGATCAACGGGGTTTTTCCAAAGAAAAATCCAAAGAAGTATGCAGCAATATCATTTATTACAATGAGTGTTGCTGGAAGAAGAAACCTGCGCATGCATTTGGCAATCTTTCAAAAAACATATCTAAAAAAAATCCAACAAAACATCAAAAGGAATATAACCAAAGATTTAAAAAACTTGTACTCAAGTAAAGAACAGTAAATATTAACTATTAAGATAGATGGAACTTGATGCCATAAAACCTTATTCACAAACTCTTACAGTTTATCAAAAGGAACAACCTCTAACTTTTCATTTTTTATAAAAAAATAATAAAAATAAAAACAATTTTCATTGAGAAAAAATGGAAGGGTACAATTGCACTTACAGTTTATCAAAAGGAACAACCTCTAACTTTTCATTTTTTATAAAAAAAATAATAAAAATAAAAACAATTTTCATTGAGAAAAAATGGAAGAGTACAATTGCATATAAGAAAACCACAAAAAAGAGCATCTTAAAGAAAGAGACTTCAATCAAGAAAAATAAGACCTAGCAAATAATTACGAAAAAGATTCAATACCAATACCCAAAAAGAGACATTAAACCTTGCAAGGGACCAAACATGAACGGCCTCCCTCTCCAACACTCTAAAATTTCTATTATTTCTCTCACCCAAATACCCGACAACAAAGCACATACACTCTGGTTTTCCATTAAAAAAATAAAATAAAATAAACAAAAATAAAAAACCCTCTTTCCCAAAACAACCACTCACTTGATCAAAAGGGGCGCCACACTCATCCACCCCTTCCCACGAGAGTCTCCTCATTAAACATTCAATGCTCTTACTGACAAAGATAGCCATTATAAACAAGAGAAAAAAGTAGATCAAGCTCCTACTCNCGTGAGCAACCGGTCTACAATGTTGTACAACCTCCACAACCATCTTATCCGCCCACTTCATCGCCGTCTCTGCCGCAACAACCTCCGAAGGTCGCCGCCTATCCCGGAGGCGGTATAACTCTTTCAGCAGATTCAGGGCCTTACACACAGGTGGCCTACGACAGCACCACCGGGAGACAAGTATACTACACAGCCGGTGGAGCCGCCATGGTAGCATCGCCTCCAACGCCGCCATACCAGGGGGTGTCGGCGCCGATGAGCGGCGATATTAGAACAGGACCAGTGGGACAGGATGGGAAGCTGATTGCAAAGATTTCACAAGGCTCAGTTTGAATAAGGACAACAGCATGTGGTATAAAAATTTTGAGCTTTTCTTTTTCATTTTTCTTTATAATATGAATCCCGACTCTTTAATTTACATGCTTATGCTATTATATGCTCGTTTGCTTCTCGATCTGTGATAAAAAAAAAAAAAAAAAAAAAAAAAAGGCAGTTTTCCTAGCCGTTCTGGATTTTTTCCACCACCAAGTTCTGAAAATGAACACTTCTCGGGTTACCCCCAAGGGAAGACCAAAAAAAATATGCTCAAGTTGCACAATAATGTGATCCAATGAACTGATAATTCTACACATCCTTCTCTTGAATCAAATAATTCAACGTCTGAAAGCAAAGCTAATGAAACTGATGCTTGTGGTAATTTCCATGTTGGGTATACTTTCTGCATACACCATAGATAAGATAATTTTTGTTTAAATATTTTTATATGTACCCTAGTTTCCCGAGGTCTCTACTGTAAGAAATATATTGATATAACTACCATAGTATAGAGAAGATTATAAAAATTTAGTTGCATAAGAAACCAAACAAAAGATTCCTCATGCTACTTACACCCTGGTGTCAACAATTGAGATGCAATCACGCAATAATTAGCTAAGCAAAAGTCCCAAAAGAAATCAAAACAAGGACAATTTTATCATAAGGAGAAAATGGAGAACTGAATGAAGTAGAACAATGGACAATCTAAATGCAATTTAAATTACCAGAAGATTCCTTCGAAGATGTTAGCAACAGTGAATGAAGACTGTGTAAACACAACTATCAAGATCATGTGTGTCCACGCATACTGGCCAAACTGATATTTGTACATTTTCTTTTTTAAAGTAAGAATGAACCACATAAAACCTGATCAAGGCAACAAACAAAGTTACTTCAACAACACTCGTGAAAGAACAACTTAACTTTATTATCAGTCAAAATAGAAGAACTGAGCAAACATTAAATGCCAATTAAACATAATCCAAGTTATAAAAAGGAGGGAGAGATTAATTCTCATAGCTGAAGTTACGTCACTAAGCATAATGCTAGGATCTACCTGCAATATACAAGAAATAACAAATGGCCATATGATACTTGACAAGGTAGCTGACAAGCTGATACAGAACTTTATCTGTTGTTACAGTATTGACAAGCCGTTGACTGAGAAGGCGGCCATAAACAAAAAACATTGCCGTGAAGAAGAAGTACCTACATAGAGTTTGGGAATCATATAATAACTTTAACTATTCAATAACTGCAATAGAGTTTGATGGAAGAATATTAACTGTGGCATTTAATTGAAAATCATAAACTCTCATTGGTAAAAAAAAATCCTTCTTAATAAAAAGCAGATACATATAGTACCAGTTTAATAACCGGAATCCTGGGAGCTGCCTATCTTCATGGGTCCTCCTGAGTAGATTGAAGAGTTCTCGAGCCATAAAGATTTGGATTACAACCACCATAGCCATAATATATAGATGTCCAAGGTATATTACTAATGCAAACCCTCCAATCATCCAGACAGATGAATAGGCACGAACCAACATTGACTTGTATTTATTTCTGTCATTAACAAGTAAATTGCTTCCATTTGGCTTCAAATCCTCCCCAATCCCCTGAAAAATGGATGGTGAAAAGCTCAATCACTCATTAATTTTACAAAACCAATACACAACTCAGAGCATTTTCCTGTCCACCAAGAAAGCAAATGTTAAGATTGCCAAGACTGAATACTTACCCCCTGCAATCTCTTTAAAAGGGAAAATAAATGAAGTGACCAAAAACAAGCAAAAGAGGAAACAGTATACTTGATCATTATTTTTAAAGTGCAGATGAACACTAAATTGAAGAGCACCAAATTAACCAAAAATGGAAGAAAAAAATACCATCATTAGTAACTTCATTGACAAGTTCTAGAAAATCATACTCATTTGTGTACATACCATTTCCCTTAGGCAGCAAAAAAATATCTGAAAAGAAAAGCTAATGATATAAGGCGAAAAACAACAAAAGGCAAATCAAGGTGGAGAAACCTCATTCGATCGCCTACGGTGTCGAAGCCTAGGGCTGGCAGGATAGTTAATAATATTTTCTCTCTGCATCTCTCTTCAAACCAGATCACACATCAATGTTGTATCCCTGGTAGAACAATCAGACAAAACACCAGCACAAGCGTCAAGCGATTACAGGAGGCAAATGAATCAGTTCAGCTTAGATTAGCATAACCAATGGCAAACCAATAACCTCAACAACACGATAAAAACAAAATCCAAGAACAAAGAGCGAGTGAAACCTGGCGAGGCTCTGCGCAGAAGAAAACAGGTGGAAAACGGCGACAAATCAAAATGATTTTTGTCAGAATGATGATGAAAATGAGATGAGAGCCAGAGGCAAAGTGAAGAACGAAAGGTTGATCTCAACGTGTTGAGTAGTGAAGGGATTACATATAACATACATTACACGAAGCTGATAGCCCGTAATTTGCCTGTGAATTTGGTGAGCGCCGAAGGAGAGAACGTGAACTCCAATGGAAGATTTCAATACAATCGGTTTCCAATTGAGGAGCGATTCACAACTGTCAGTTCATCTTTCTCACACATGACATTTGACGACGAAGATGATGATAATCTCGCACTGAAATCTACGAACTTCAACCCAAAATGATTGATTATTCCTTTACAAAAATAACCTGTTTTTTCGTTATACAATTGGAAAAATATATCCTTATACAATTGGATATTTGCTATTTTCAACCATAAAAGTTTTTTAGTTTACAAGATTAACCTACATAATAAAAATAAGTTTCTAATTCCAAACTTCGATAATGTGTTAAATTACTTAAATACCCTGGTGTGTAAACACTTCTTATTCCTGTGTTCGATCTCTTTCATCTTTGTCTCGTTCGTGATCATTAGAGATGTTCATTTAACTTGTGAGGTTAAGGTCTCGTGAGAACTTGCCTAAACAGGACGAGAATTTCTCGTTTAGATGAGGAATGAGAGAAGGAATGGAAAGAGATTTCTCCCCGTTAGATAAATGGAGTCGAGGCGGGGATTATATTCCTCGTCCCTAACCCTGTCAATTCTCAACCTGCTCATTATTACGAAAAGGTGATTCAACTCTAAATTTTAGTAACATGAATGAACTAACACCAATTAATAGTTTATATTGAAAAGTGAAAAGTATACATTAAAAAGTTTTCCGGGGATGGAGAACGAAATACTTCCCCGTCCTCTCCCTGGTCCGTAGACATCTCTAGTTGTCACCTATGTTGAAGAAAGGTTTGGAACATGGAGAGAATGAAGAGGGGTCAAGCATCTTCCTCTCAACAATGCTTCTTGAAGTTCCACTATATCCGTAAGGCCCCATTAGCCTGGTCGAAGACGGGGATAAGGAATAAAAATTAAAGCTCCCTTAGCTCTACCAGGGACCGGACAAAGGTTAGATTTATAAATATGTAGTGTGGTGTACTAGTAGTCTCTTCTAATCGCCTTCCCAGTGCTTTTGGTACTACAAACCATCTGTCATCTATTGCAGCAGAGCGTCATTATCATGCTTGTCCAAGGCGTGTTGTCTGTGGCTACATGTCGGATGTCTCCGTCATGCTTGTCCAGGACGTGTTGCCCATGGCCGCATGTCCATTCCAAACCTTTTTTATATGCTTTCATGTTAGATAAGTTTTTACTATTTCATGTTGTTTTAATATGAGGGTGTATGACCAGTCACCAAAATTATGTCTACATCTACCAGGGCTAAAATGCCACAAAATGTACTATAGGAAGATGCGACTAGTTGTTAATTCTTTCTACCAGGGTTATATGTTATTAAGGTCGTCGTTGTTATCTACTCGCTTTTAGCTTATAACATCATTTTCTTTACAATTATTTTCAATGTATTTCATCGTTCATGTTTTCTAAAACCTTTCTCTCAAACATGACTCGAGGCTCGAGTATAGGCCAATATTGTCCGCGAAGTATGAGTTTTACATGGCTGACTTGTTCGTTGAGTTGGAACAAGTGACGCACAATCGTTGTCCCCTGTTGTAAGAGTGTGATTAGGACAAGTGGTATTGGAGCCAAGTCGGCTATTTGGAAAGTAGTACACAAACATGTCTGCTGAAAACAACTAGGCAAGTCTGAAGCTGACCAATTAAGTGAAATCGAAGAGCAGTTACTCTAATTAGTGAAATTCTTGATAGAATAGGGCTTTTGGAGTCTCGCATGAATGAGATTGCTGCTAAGGTCGACAGGATCGATGAGATGGTAGGCCTCCTTGAATTAATGTCCGACACAAATTAATGATTAGGGTTGAGGCCCTAGAAGACAAGGCCACAATTGATGGTGGCGTCGAGCATAGAGATAGCTCGATGAGCTCTATTGCCCGAATAAAAGAACACATCGAGGGCTTAGACAATGCACAACAAGCGATCATTCAGATGGTCTCAGAAATGTCTAAGGATTTGAGAGAAGTCTTTGGAGTGGTCAGGGCTAAGTGATGGATTTAAGCGTCAAATTAAACATCACCATGAGAGCGGTGGGAAACCAAACCCTAACTGGGGATGAAGTACAATTTAACAAGATATATGTCCTAGAGCTCAAGCCCTTTTGTAAGGTTCGAGATACGAAGGCTCTATAGAAGTTTATTGTTGACCTCGAACAATACTTTCGAGCCACAAATACCTTGACAGAAGAAGCAAAGATCACATTGGCAACGATGCATCTAATTGACAATGCAAAGTTGCGGTGGAGATGCAAGTACACGGACATTCAAGATGGTTGATGTACTAAGGATACTTGGAAAAACTTAAAACAAGAACTCTGCTCTCAGTTCTTCTGAGAGAATGTCGAGATAATCACAAAAAGAAAGTAAAGAAAGCCAAGGCATACTAGCAATATTTGAGACTACGTTAAGCAGTTTTTTGGACTTGCATTATATATTCGTGATATGTCCAAGAAAGACAAGGTCTTTAGTTTTTTCAAGGGGATAAAGTCGTTGGCAATAATGAAGCTCTACGAACAAAGAGTTCAAGACCATTCCACAGCCTATGCTACAGTCGAACGACTATTTGGTATTAGTATCGATCAACACCAAGAGATAAGGCAAAATCAGACGCCCACAAGTGGTGTAAATAAGAATTACATATCGAATTACAAATCGCTACATAGACTCAAGGATAAAAGCTATACAACATTTTCTTTCACAAAACGGGAGATACAAGAAGATTAAAGTTTCCATATATGCATTTAAAAACCCAAAATAATTCAAAAACATAACGAGGTCCACGGAGTCACATTAAAAGAAAACAATTACAAAAGATCATGAGTTTCCAAAATAAATATCCAAATGGTATTAAAAACGACATGGAAAGAGAGGACTCGATCTAAAGGCATATTCTGCAACCGCATGGCTCAGCACGTTCTCGCCACCAACACCGGTCTACTTTCCACCTGAAAAAAATAGAAACATGGAATGAGTATAAAAATACTCAGTAAGCAACCTAATTGTAGACTCTTGTCAGACTTAATCCTATTCACAAAATCTTAAGCTATGTGCTCGAAACTGTCTCTAATAAAATCTGCTACGGTCTCAAGAGAATACCTTATGGTTACTCATTAATATGAATTTTCCATGCCTAACTACCTACTAAGCTCAAATAAGTGAATCTTCCCTTGTGGTGCCAGACAACATCTACCTGTTCTTAAGATCAATAACTACCGGCCACTATGCCCTTCCAAGTTGGGTTAGTATTGCCTTCCACCGTCGTCGAGTTCAGAACAGTAAAACTACTTGTCTTAGGAACAGTAACTACCTGTTACTTTGCCTTTCAGGTTAGAATAGTAAACTACCTACCTCCACGCCCTTCAGGGCTGGGTCAGAAAAAAGGTCATGACTCTCCTCACTAGGCACCCCTGATTTGGTACTACATAGTATACTCTCTATGGCTACCCATATCCTTTATGGGTGACAACTAAATCAAACAGTAATAAGTAGACCCTAACCTCGGTTAGTTAGTTCATGAATAGGGTTAATGCCCTACCCTACAAGAGATACCTAGTCAACCTATGACGACTATCAAAAGTATATCAAAAGTATAACTCAGTACAAATACGTAAACTATAGCTCATAGACTATGAAATTCACCATCCACATTTTCTAGCACATAGCAATTGGTCCAACTCATAACTAGGCAATAGTGGGTCGTCCAAAACCCTAAATTAGTGTATGACAATGAATAAATGCATACAACATGCTCATCCTACTAATTAAGTAATCATAATCTACCTCAACATATTAGGAAGCATATCAATCCAATTATCTAACAGAGATTACATATTCATGCATGTGAAAGCTATACGACAATAAACATAATTAAGTGGTAAACTATGCAGATCATCTAAGCACAATTCTTATGAGACTATGTCAAACTAGGCGCCTAAACACAATATTCAATCATTGCCCTCCATCCTAATCGGCTCCTAAAGTATTTCTCACAAACTTTCTCCATATGGTTACTTACATGGTTGTAGACTTCCCGAGATTACATCAGGTCTTTAAGTATGATCCCACTTAGCTAAGCTTCTTGAAATTGCCCTCTAACATGAGTCATTATGGAATTTGTGAGATAAGTACCCAAATTGGAATGAAAAATGGGTCTGATGGCATAAAAGGAGAGAAAAAGTTCTCACGTTTCAGTTCTATATAGGCGGGTCAGGTCAAAGTGGTACACACTTGGGTCGAGTCAGTTACATAGAAACGGGTTGGGTCGGTCACCTCCTTCAATTACAAGTCTCATTGCATCATTAATATCAATTACAAACGTCAAATATTCTTAATATTCATAATAATATTTAAAGCAAGGCAGGGTAAGGTTGAGCTATAACTTTGTTTTAAGTTAGTCGGATTGACCCGACCAAAAAAAATGCCAACCCCACGAACCAACCTAAATTTTCAATTTTCAAAAAAATTCAACCCAACCCAAATCGAAAAGAGAGTCTAACCAAACCCAACTTTTATAATTTGGATAATCGTATTCTCAACTCATGCGAACACCCTAATTATTTCATTCTAAATCTCGAGAAATCTTGTTGTTTAGTAGATTGGAGGGGCAAATCCAAAATCGAAGAGATTCATTACATATAAAATAAAAAAATCTATAAACTTATAAGATAGTTTTAAAGTTTATATAACGAAACGAATCTAAATCGTGATTAGTTACTAAGAATTTGTTGAAGTAAATACCAATGAAGTTCTTCAATTTAGACAAAAATAATAATAATAATAAGAAGAAGAAAATAAATAAAAGATGATGGGAATGTAATGTAGCACTAAATTACAAGCAAATAAAAATAAAATGAAGATATAAACTAAGTGATTCCTTGCAACTCACATGAATCTCTGCTCTCTCTTAGGCCTCTCCGTCCAAAATTCCCCTACTTAACACCACACCACCATTCTTCTTCTCTCTTCTTCTCTTCCATCCCATCTCCCATGGGAGCCCATCTCTGCAGCTTTAGGCGCCCCGGCATCGGTAGACCGTTCACGCCACCCTCCTCCGCTCACGGTAAAGCCACAAACGCCATTTAGAATTTGAAACTTTGTCCATGCCATTCTTTCGATTTTTTTACTCGATCTCATATATATGTTTTAACTTTTAAAAGTTTCAATAATACTCTTGAA